CTCTATAGCATGTGTGTAGTAGTCCTCAGTGTCAAACTGGTGTCTGCACATTAGAGCTTGGCTGTAAGCTCTGTGACCTAGTGCCACATGAAGACATTCACAACCATATGTTTTCCAAGCAGCTTCTAGCACATCCTAGCAGTATCAAAGCAGTATCAAATCCGTATTAAATCAGTATCCAATTATAATCAATTCAGTATCAGTTGTTATATGTTTTTATTTATCCAAATCAGTAACAATATTAAATCTAAAAATCTAATTATGATGAAAAATCCAGAATTTTTGCTTTTTCTACATGTCGTATTAGTGGCAAATCTTTTGAAATTATGTTCAAATATTCCTTTGACCAAGTAATCATTTTTGTTAGAGACCCTCTAATACATGTCAATTCATCAATTAATGTGGTGACGTTTTAGGGAGCAATTTGGTCTGAGATTTGACATAAAGTTATCAATTAATCTGGGACATTTTTATCTGAAACCGCTTTTTCTGCTTTGTTTATACCAAAACCTAACACTGAGAAATGAATATTTGTCAACTTACTAAACCAATTGATAAGATTCAGTTCAAACATTTAAAACACTAAACAACCAATATTTAACATTCAAAACACTAAACAACCAATATTTAACAACATTCAAAACACCAAACAACCAATATTAAACAATAAAAACAATTAAACAACCAAAACATTTTAAACAATAGACTGAATTACTTTTATAATTAAATTCACACCCTCATTTTAAAATGTGGACAAAACTTGTTTTTTCTCCAAGGATCTAAATCTTACCTGGGCAGCATTAACTCCAGCCTCATCCTGCTTGCATTCATTATTAAAATGACAGAAATGAAGTAAGGCTTCAATAAATAAAGGGTGTCTTTCTCCAAAGTTGTATCTGGAAAATATTGATTCAAAAAAAAAAATATTTTAATATAGTAAACAAGGCATACTGCCTAGCTTCACTTAGGTTTTCAAATTATTTGGTGATCGACTGTTATATGGATGCTTTTTTGTTTTAGGTTAAAATAGAATAAAACTGGTGGAAAAATTATTACTTTAGAAAGTTACCTCCATTCTACATAGGCCGAATGATATAGTGTTTTTTTACTTTTTTATAAGAAAAATGTTATACTTATATCAGAAAATACGGCTTCAGGACAAAACTAACGGCTTTGGGGGTTTTCCGATAGGTAGAACGTGTTTAATTTGTTACCATCCATGGTTGGTTTATGTAGAACGTGTTTAATTTGTTACCATCCATGGTTGGTTTATGTAGAACGTGTTTAATTTGTTACCATCCATGGTTGGTTTATGTAGAACGTGTTTAATTTGTTACCATCCATGGTTGGTTTATGTAGAACGTGTTTAATTTGTTACCATCCATGGTTGGTTTATGTAGAACGTGTTTAATTTGTTACCATCCATGGTTGGTTTATGTAGAACGTGTTTAATTTGTTACCATCCATGGTTGGTTTATGTAGAACGTGTTTAATTTGTTACCATCCATGGTTGGTTTATGTAGAACGTGTTTAATTTGTTACCATCCATGGTTGGTTTATGACCTCGCGGTTTAGGGGGTCGTCAAGCTAAACTTATTTTGGATATATAGCTCACATATGAATTCCACTCGCGGTCACTTTTAGTCCCCACAGAGAGCTTAGAGGTGATAAAAATGCCAAGAGATTATCACGAAAGAGATAATATTAGTTCATTTTCAGGTTAAGCTTATGTTGATGTTCGAATATATCTGCTAGGTATGATACTCTCTCCAACCACTCTTTGTCGTTAAAGTATAGCAAAAGGTCTTGTTTCCCTTGCACTTTCAAGAACAACTTGATTTCATCTTTCAATTAAAAACACGATTCACAACATTTCCTTTTGACATCCAGCTTACAGTGTAAAAAAGCAAAACCTCTTAATCTTTATTCATGTATTTGCACAGTTCTTTAAACAGACGGGTGTTTAGGGCTCCAGATTTAGTATAAATTACGACTTTTAATAGCAATGAAGTTGGAAGAGTCTTGCTGGCGTGGGCATACCAGTGAATCATGCAGTGGATTCCCCATCATTATGGAGCTAAATCTTTTACTTTATTTTGGAAAGCCCGATTTTTATCCAAACATGACGCACCATCCGTACAAACCCCACAGTCGTTTTCCCATTTTAATCATCCAGTTTTGTATTGTTAGACAGAGATATTTTGTTGCATCTTTACAGTACTGGAATCCCCAAGAATTAATTTTACCATCTTCAACATGCAGGGTTTGATGAGAATTTCTCCTATTGTGTGAGAGGATTTTTGCTTGGTAATTTCTATTGTGACTTCATATGATGCTTGCACTAATTGTTGTGTTTCCTTGCTAAAAACTTCCTGTTCGATCAAGTCTGTGACGTTTGCAATTAGCTTCTTGTCGACGAATGAACTCCATATCACTTTTGGTGTGTTCCGAATGACTCGCCTCAAAATGCCGTTTGAGCTATGAAAGCTTCATAGACTCATGACTGAGAACAACTTTGCACAGTACGCATTGTTTATTTTTTATTCCATTTCCATTGTGATGTTAGTAAAGCCGAATTTCAGATATTCTTCTATACTTTTTTTTTATTGCTAGGGTTTAGTCTACGAGTGAGCGACCCCACAGAAAGCCCTTCGCGACCAACAGTTTGAGAACCCATGCAATAGACACTAAAGTGACCCACGCTTTTCTTTGTAGTTATTTAAATAGTAGTGTATAATTTATTTATTTTCAAATTTTTAGCGCATTATTAGATAAAATTGATTTTTTAAAATGATGCTATTAATGTTCCGCACTATTACACATCTGTTCTTTGCTTTTCATTTGGTGCGCAATTCATTTTTTCTACGAGATTCTATTCTTATTTTTTTAATTTTAGTATTTAAAAATTGATTAAATATCAGGTCTATATCCCGAGTTGCCATCCCCTAGACTGTTATTTAAGAATATTCGAGAAAATTTAGGGGAGATCACTCCCGCTTTATTTTAAATAGAATAGCGAGTAGAAATGGACATACAATAGAACCAAGTAGAAAAAGTAACTGCACACCAAAAGAACGTAGGCTACACAATGTTTGCATAATACAGCGAAAAAATAGTACTTTATTAAAAACTCTATATTTTATTTTGAAATTAATTAAACATCTTAGTCACATTTATGGCCATCAATTCTTGACCTAAATGAAAAGTTTTGAAAAAAATCGGTCCGGTTGAAGTAATCTGTTTCCAGAGATCGGAAATAGCAAAAATTAAATTAAATTTGATATAAAAAAATAATCTCTATACTACTAAAACTCAAGTTTGTTTACATGTTTGAATATTTATTTGTTTGTCTTATTTACTACTGAGTTAATCTGCCACATGTATAGGCCTGTAAAATAGTATGTAGGTAGAGAACAATTTTTCTTTTTAGACAGACTGTAAATCACAAATTTATTTAAAAACGTTAATTAATTTATTGATTTATTCATTGGTAGATTAACCACATTAATTTTAAAAGTTTCAAACAATAGCTTTATTTTGACTGAATAGTGACGTCACATTACTTGTTTACTTTTTAGTACAATAAAATGGCGGCTTCTATCGAAGAAGATTGTGTTCCCATTCCAATGTTTAACGCGTTCTAAAGCTAATTTTCTGTCTGCTATAACTTTAACAATACGTCCGTTTGCTGTATTTATTACATTCCAACACTTATATCAATTTTCAACTGTCTTTTTCATTTAGTTTTACAATAAATTTCTCTAGATCTACAGATAAGCTATCGAAGGAAGACAATTTTTTAATCTAGATCTAGATCTAACTCTAGGTCACTAGACTTAACGTAAAGTCTAGATCTAGACTTAATGTAAATTCTACATCTAGAATCTATTTCAGGCCTTAATTATTTTATATAAATCTTTTTTAGCTTCAATGATCATCTAATTTGAGAATGCATGGGATCTATCTATCTAGGTTCTAGATCTAGATATAGTAAGATTACTCGCTAATTTGGAGGGGTGGTCAGTTGCTAACAACAATATGGCGTCCGAATCGGACGCATGACTTCCGACCATTTTTAGGCCATGTTTACCCCGAGCAAAATGGCGGGTTTTTACGTTATATAAACATGCTATAGGTGGCCAACGCTAGATATGCCAGAAAAGCATTTTAAAATTTGCTTTGGAGAATGAAGGCTAAATTTTAAAGTCGGTATGATTAAAATTAATAGAACTTTAAAAAGGTCACCTGTGACGTCAGTATATGAAGGGATAGTGTGGTCAGACCCATGCTCAGCCGAAATCCGTGTTTTTAAAAGATAAAAAACGTCTTTTTGAAAGTCGGGTCTGGTTATTTTGTGATAAGTCACAGACGTGATGTCATTTTTGGATGACCCTCGAAACCCACTGTTATCTAACTAGATAACGGGTAGTCTAGTCAAGGAATAAAATCTTACACATACGTTAACATTTCGTCCAGGTAACTAAAATCGCACTTAATTTATCGGTATTTTAGAATCCAGAAATAGAGTATAGTACAATTTCCGGTTGTACAATTTCCGGCCTCGAAGACGCAAAAAAAAAGCCGAGATTTTGATAAAAATGGATTTATGCTCAAAATCTTTAAAAACAAATATGATTTTATAATTAACTAATTTACATTCTTTTTAATATTCTGGGCACCTAATGAGCATCATGTTGTGTTCACAGTGATAATGGAACCATGATTTGGGCACAGAGATGTAAGCACCTTGATACGAGCCAAATGATGTGGACACCATGATGTGCGCACCAAGATGTGGGCGCCATGACGCGGGCACTATCAGTGATGTGGGAATTATCTGTGATATGGGAACATTGATGTCGCCACCATATGTGATGTGGGCACAATCATTTAGGCACCATCAATGATGTGGGCACAATCATTTAGGCACCATCAATGATGTGGCCATCATCCGTGATACGGGAATAGTGTTATGGGCAAATTGTAAAACAAACTGTAAAACCAACACACAAATAAACCGAGAGTGATCTCTCCTAAACTTTCTCGAATATTCTTCTATAACACTACGGGGGATGGTAACTCGGGATATAGACATGAATTTTTAATCCATTTTTTATTACTTAAACTTTTTGAAATAGAGTAGAATCTCGTAGAAAAAAGAAGACACGATAACTTGAGTACCGTTACAGCTAGGTTGATGAAATTTCATATATAAGTATTATATCAAATTTGTAGATAAGTTTAAATTTTTCAGCCATTTCCGATAACCGGAAGTGGAACTATTTCTACTTTCAATTTATCAAACTTGATTACTATTTCAGAGGGATAAATGAAATTTCACATGTAAGTAAATGATCTAATTATCTGCATTCTGTCAAATTTTGAGTAATTTCCGTTGACCGAAAGTATTAATTTACGCTATTTCCGATTTCTAAAAACGCATTTGAATTTATAAAGTACTAATAATATTCCGCACTAGTATACGCATTTTGCTTGGCGTTCGCTTGGTGCGCAATTCTTTTTTCTACGAGATTCTATTCTATTATAAAAAGTTTAAGTAATTAAAAATCATGTTTATATCCCGAGTTGCCATCCCCGTAGTGTTATATATTATTATGAATATTCGAGAAAGTTTAGGAGAGATAACTCCGGGTGTATTTTAACCAGCTATATTTTGTTGGTCTCGTGCTCTTTGTTTTCAATTTTTGACTGTGTTTGTTGACATGTTGTGTGGTGTTATTTTCAATATGGATTGTATTATTTCATCATTGTATTAATTAGTTATTGTGGGTTACCCACAAATCCACTTTGGTTGACACATTTTCCTAGTTCGGTTTTATTTTAATAGGGTTAGTAGATTTGCTCCTCTGCTTGTATGTTCGATTTAGTCAAATTT